ATGTTTGACATAGCGGGGCTGATTATTGTTTAGTTTTACAATGTATGTACCATTTGATGAAGGCTTGTAATAAATTGTGTGCAGACTTTCAGGTCATTTGTTCATTCCGTATTTCCGAAAAAAAAATTTTAAATGTGTCAAATGACCCTAAATAGAAACGTTAAATGTTTTTAATCCAGATTAGGCTAGAATCGTACAAAAACGAATTTGATTTAAATTTTAATCGTATTATTATTTTCATGTTATTTTTCGCGTTTATTTTTGTTGTAAGTGTCACAGACGATTTTTGTAAGAATTTCAAATTTCATGGCTTTAGGCATTCAGACCTCAGTGCAGTTCCTTTAGTATTTAACATTTATTCGAAATTGATTTTAATTTCGGTATTGATTTTGATCTTGAATAAATTGTAGGCTCAAGCTACCAAAGTCAAATGTAAATGAAATAAATAGATAAGTCAGTAATTTATGCCGATAGAGTTTTGAAATAGTGTAAGGAACAAATCATTTCCTGTTATACACTTTTCTTAAAATAGCTAAATAATTAAACAGTATGCTTAAAACAACCCTGTCAGAAACAATAACAAGGTCAAAAAGCTAAAGAAATGTTATTATAAAGGAAATAATTCGACGACCTATTTAGTTACTTTCCCGGGACTTTTTGAATTGTCTACTTGAACTCCTTAAGAATATTTCTACACCCTTGCGGTATTCAGTTCTAATGTAACACGAGTTTTGTAATGGAGTAAACTAAAATTAAGCATATGGAATTACAAAAACAAACACAAGTCCAGATTATTTCGTGAAACAATGTGGTGCAATGAAGTTTGACTTTGAAGTTTGACTTTTAGTCGGAATCATGAAGATAAATAATAAATATACAATAAACATATTCTTATTCATCAAAGAATAATGTATTGTAACTTTTTTGTAATTATGAGATCTAAAAAATGTTTCAAAACCTCATTCCAAGGATATGTTAGAAGTTGCCAATACAAATCATCGAAGTTATTTTTAGAGAAAATGTTAAAGACAAATAATACAATGAAGTCTTTTTCCAGTTAATTTATGTCTCCATGAAGACTGAGTATCAAACACTGATACTTCAAATTATACTTGTCTTAGAGTGGGTTAGATACATGGAATGTCAGAAGAATCTCTTTTAAGATACATACCTTTGTTAATTTAAGAAAAAAATTAACATGGCGCCACGTTTGCGTCTCTCTAAAACAAACATTGTTCTTTTTTCAAAACATGTATCATAATTTGGTAAAATAAGAAAGCAATCGAAGGGGAGACTAATAAATTCTAAATACTACTAAAGCCGGTGGAAAGGGAGCATGATGTTCATTCAGTATCTATTTCAATCTTCGAGAGAAGTTCCATTTTCCAGATTTAATTACCTTTTATTCATTAAGATGTGGTTCAATTCACAAATATTCTGAAAAACAACATGAAATATCCATTTCCCCTTCGAGCAGAAATTTCGTAGTCACCGGCTGACATCTTTAAAAAAAAGAACAAACGTAATGCTAGCTGCCGTGCTTTTATGCTAGCGTACGAATATCAAGTTTATTTGACTCTTTTGGTATTCGAACCTTCAAATGGACTTTTAAGATTCTAACGTTCTCCAATGCAGGACTTTAATGTAGTGCAATGAAAATCCCTTCCCTAGCAGCATTAAGCTAAGGTACCTTTAGAATTGTATATATTCATCTTGTTATATATCGTATGATTATTTCAAGTTTAATATAATTCAAATGACAAAGTCGAAACGTTATTTGGAGTAAAACGTTTCCTTCAAATTAACAATTGCAAAGTTGTATCGTATCATTATAGTGAATTGCAGCGTCTAATTATCTGATTGTGTATATATCTTGGTGTTTGTCTCTATAATACACTCGATCTATACCCATGTGTAAGATACCGCACGCTTCTTTGACCCAACATTGATATTCTTACTCTGACAAAATCCTTTTCTTGCTATATCTATGGCACATAATTAAGACAAACCTGCTTAGGTTTTACATAAGTACAACCCTGCTCTATATTCGTGTAAGAGAAGAACGGAGGGTAGTAATTAATCCGCTACGATTCAATCAGCTCCCATGTTCTTACTGCTTAATTACTTTTTTCTGGTTAGCAAAATATCCAAAAGTTCCGAAGAGTAAGAACGAATGATGGAAACTGATTAAAAAAAGTGATACATAGGAATTTATATAGCAATCTAAAATATAAAAATGTGTGACATAGAACCTTTGCTTTATACCCAATTAAAATACTTGCAGACAATATATATTGTTTGTCAAATATACCAATTAAATAACGTTTGAATAACATTATAAGGTATTTTCATCTGATAAGCATAGAAAACAAAAGGAATTTAGTAATTTCGATATTTACAAGTACTTGTATTTTGTCTGCGAGTAAAATCACAAAGTAAAATGAAATATTTCAAGAAGAATCCCAATCACTTTCAAAACTGAAACAATGTAATTGTAAATCTTCGCTTATTGCCGCACTATGTTTACAGATGAAGTAGTGTTATGACCACACTTGTAATTATTTTCAAGCCTTAATGACGGCCCATGATTGAAGTTTAAAAACGCTATCAAAGCGCCAATTGTACCTTAATAAAGGCCACTGTGATAGTAATGATTTGTATTGTTTATTGTTAAAATTTACAATCATCTGTTTGGCATTACTAGTTAATATCAAGGTACTTCTTGCAATGAATATTCATTATTTCAATTATTATGTTATTCGTTCTATTTTTGTTTATGCTTGGAAAATTCTCTAAGAAGCGTTATTTTTGCCGATGGGGTGTTTATGCAATCAAAAGCCTACACCATTGCGTTATAATTAGATGTAAACGATGCATGACATGGAAATAACTGAGTTAGAAATAACTTCTAAACAAGTTAGTGAAGTAATTTCCAGTAAACAGTTGCAAGATATTACTTTTCAAAACCCAAAGGAATTTGTGATCTTTGTGTGCAATCGAGAATGAATTTACGGAATAAATGTGCCTCTACGAGCATGCTTTAAAAAGCATTGACATATTTAAGTATATAAGCACACCATCGTGAAGCGTTTGAATGCAAATTCGATTTAAACATAATAAATTATCAATGATTTAGAACAGTTGGCACCATTTTATGGGGTGTAATTATCTTTACTTTGAATGCTGTGCCAGCGCTCATCATAATTTTAGTTATATAAGGAATAGTTAATACTAAAATAAGTATAAATTGTTTGAATACAAGCACTAAAACTAGTTTGATAGTTTAACAGATTGATAAATCAAACAGAAGTTGTAACATGTTATAGTTCCCAGTGACAGCAATTCTGACACTCGGCCATGCTTTGTAACTGTACACATCTTACTATCGTCAAACGGCTTATTTTGTAAAGAAAGAACGTTACCTTCTGAAACAACAACAACAAAAAAAACAAAACAATAAAAAACTGATATTATTTTATATATAATACTAATCAACTTTAGAAAGAAGTGTGTAGTGTTCAATGATAATGAAATTTGTTTAAAAAAATAACATTTTTTTATCAAACACCTTCTGAGTCTACAGGTAATCTAGTGTGAGTCATAGAGAAAGATCTCTTGTAATTAGTGTCTAACAACATTATTAAACCGTCTCTTGGATCAGTATATCTAAAGAAAATATGAAGGGTGATGACGTAGTACCCTGTTTGACACAAAAAGAGAATCGATGATCTTTACAGATCCAACTGCGATTGATGGTCGAGTACCGTTCCAAGAGCAGCGTGAAGTATTAACACAAATATCACGAATAACGGTAGTCTAGTTACAAGTTGTTCTTCGTGGGAAGTCGTAAATTGACAGATATTTTCTGTGTAAATCATATCTTAAGCATCGTCGAGGGAGGTGTTAATCAACCTATATATCATATAAAAGGAGAATTAAACCTGTCATTAAAATGCTACCTCGTGATATGAGAGTATGGCTTTTTGCTAGAAATGATGTATTTGATAAGTTTAATGTTAGGGTAAGAGTAGTTGATTACATTGAACCAACTTGTGAAGATCTATCCACATAAATTAATGCAAAAGAGAAAACGTTTATACATAGACAATCGGTTCTGACAAGACTAACATACTGCTTATCAAAACCATTTCTATTGTTTTATTTCATAATCTGGGAGAATTGTTAAAAATTCACATTCACTTTAAATACAAGTAAGGTATGAATTCAATTACGAGAAATATATAACATCTATAATCTTCATGGAAATTGGAAAATGAAAATATCACAATATGATTTTCTATTGAACGTCACTTTAATCGCATTCTTTTATATAACTGTAGTGGTTGCTTTTGGTTGACAAACACTCAATGTGGTTTATATAAATATTTATTCTATAAAGAATAAAACCTGTAACAAATAAAATAACAATAGGACATCACATTACAAAACAAATATTTTACAAGACAAATACATTTCACAAAATTCATAATTCATCATAATTACACAACAATCAAAATTTAAAGTAGAATCAATTTCACAAATAAATAAATATATACATACCAGGCTTTGTAATAAAAAAAATCTAATGTAAAAATAATTGATGAAAATACCAAGTATTTCTATAAGTAAATTACTGAAATTAAACGAAATAATTAATGTTTTCTCTTCGAAAGGGAGACAAGGAGTGGTCAGTTACCAAGAAATATATGATATCCCAGAACCAAGTCATCTAAAAATAACTTGCATACCAAAATTAATCATCCATCACTCAACTTGCAAAACCAGTTCAATTCACCCATAACAAAAGGACAAAAGACAAACATGAACACTTAACACCACAATAGATTTGGTCTAGCCTTTAAGGGAAATTACCGTATTTATTATAAAAAGAGAACTCATGAATATTTTAACCTTATCTTCATAACTTTTTGTAAATATTTGTTTCATTTATATGTACGAGACTGAATAATAAAATCTGAGCTTCTATTTTTATATTACAGGTGTAAGATAGGGTACACGGGTCTTCGATGTGAAATGATAAACCAAGAATTCCTGTTAGCACTTCTTTCTGAAGAGTTTGGGTAGACCAGTGAAGTTACAGCATTCTTGGTTTCGACTTCTAACGGGTATGTTGAATTTTGTATCTCTATTCCTTCATGTGTTCTAATCTGTCCCAAGTGCAAAATCTGTAACGATGCCTCTCTAAATTAGTTTTTGAGACAAACAAAGTAACATCGTAATATGCCAAAGACAGTTTGTGATTTAAAAATAATTTGTTCCCCCCTGAATACCGGAAGTAGGTATGCTACCGATTCTTTGACTTGAACTACGTATGATGCGTCTTTTATGCGTCACCAAATCTATTTCATGTGTAGTTGTAATAATGCAATGTGGATTTTGAATGTACATAACGGCTGAAGCGTCATGATAAAAGTTTGATCTTGCTTTATTAATGTGTATATTCTCTAAACGAAATCGGCATATCATCAAGTTCCTTACAGGTACTCATAAAAATCTGGAAACAAAGTTATCCCTAGGAAGCATTTATCAAAACAAAATTTCAGACTCGGTTTGATTGAGTCTGTACATGAGGGATAATGAATGAGTGCAACAACTATCACGCCCCTTTTATCGATTCAAGACATATTTTATAAGACGTTGTTTATACTGTAAATGATTTAATTGTATTGATTATAATATACTACATAAACAATCGTTCATGAGTTGTTTAATAATATAAAATCTTATTAAAGAACTTTTTAAAAATTATACTACTTATATAATATTATGCATGATATATATATAGACAATGTATTTCATAATGTGATAGAATATTTTAGACATTTCATTAATTATCTTTTTAAAATTTCAGGTACAAGACATGTTGTAGAGGTTACACTAATGAAATAGCGTATTTGCATCGCTTACTACTGGTTAAATGGCAAGTTATTCGTTACGGAAATACACCAAAACACAACTACAGACAGTTTAAAACACGACTACAGACAGTTCAAAACACACCTACAGACAGTTCAAAACACAACTACAGTGCTGAACGCATTAAATGCGAAATTAATCCAAAATGTTTACTGTCATAATTGTATTTTTAAGTTTTCATTTCAATATAAATTCTGAAAAAAGTGATTTGAATTCTTTATACTAGTACATAGTATACATATACATTCAGTTTACTAGTACTCGTAGAACTATTCATATTTCTTTCATATAATTATAAAGAATTTTGTGTCGATTTTTGGAAACTTTGTATTTTAAAACATCCTGACTACATTTTTGGCCAAAATACTGATCGTAAGTGCTATTCCATGCATTGTATTTTCAATGTAAATTAATACATTTCATGCAGAATTGTTTTATTAGAGTGTAATTGCAAAATAAAGTTACATACATTAGATATAATTATATTCAATTACTTCTATTATAAAGCTTACAACCAGTGTCAAAACCCAATGTGCAACATGATATATAACATGTGCATTAAAGACAGTGAACAGTGTTTGAATTAAGTTTAAACACACAAAACTATTTAAAGTAATATATTGTGGAAAGAATTATACTTATATGTAAACATGACCATGGTGTAATTGTTTTTATTTAATATGTATATATGATAAACATTGATCAATAAATAATTGTTAGTATCTTTGAAATATTGTTATGTTCATTAAGTTTCATGTTTTGCAATTTCTCACGATCATAGTTAGATCTTTGAATGAATAAACGCCATTACAGACAGCATTTCAGGTTCATTGACTTCATTCCAGTGTCACTAATGATGCAGTGAGCACACTAGAAGCGGTAACTGTAAGAGTCAAGTGTCTTTAATATGGCTGGCTGTCAACTTGACTCGCCAAATAAAAAAACATTTTCTATCTAAACCTGACGCATGAAATTCGAAATAAATCTTAACGTTATGGTTATTTTCTTTATCAAATACATAATATCGTCTTGACTGTACTTTGAGGTTGCCCAGGACATACAGGATGTACAGCAGAAGTCATGCATCAAAGTCTACTCTTATTAAATCACATATCTACACTTTTGACACATTCATGATGGATTTGGAGATCAAGACGTGTCCTGCAATTTTACAACTGAATGAATATGAAATAATATCATTTTCTCTACTTTAATGTTTCGTTTTAGAAACAGCTAGACAACGCCTCCTGTGTATGAACAGATTGTATCAAGACGCAGTAAAAATATGTCATCATATCTCGGAAGAAGTTAAGATTGAATTTAACTAGCTGATTTCCGGCGCCGACTTTCAATGATCGGATTGTATCAAGACTCTGTAAAATTAACCATTATTTCTAAATAGGTAATATAGCAGAATATCACAATCTACTTAATTTCTTACATTTTATTGCAAGAAACATTAAACGATTAGATGTCACGATTTTATGAATCTTATAGTTTATATATTATTTGAATGTGAAAATAGGGGAAAGAATCAGGAAATAAACCTTGACAAAACTTTCTGCATTAGGTTGACGTTGAAATGTGACCAATGGTTAATAAATAAATTAGGCGTCTATTCCCTTGCAAAAAATCTTATACAATGATAATAATGGGTTGTACTTTATCCTACGAAACTAATGAATGTTACGAACAAATATTCAAACTGCAAACAATTACTCATTTTCAAACTGTAATCTTTATTTTGTAATTGGTGAGTTTTTAAATATTAACAGTAAGCAAATGTTTATAGAGTATTAAAATCGGTTAAAGTATCGAATTCGAAACAGCACGGCAAAGTTATCTCTCTGAAAACGATTTTGATTGTTCTTTGTCAGTTCTGTTGAATTATCATTGACAAATGAAGACCTAATATATAATTGTATTTAAACTCAGCACTTTTAATCTCGATACTTGGAATTCAATCAACACCCACGCTAGGAATACATTCATTCGGAATTTATCAAGTAAGTCGGTTTAATTAAATACTTAGCATGATTATCAGGGAACTGTGACTCAGGCATTAGTTTTCTTTAATCAAGAAAAATTCGGTTCCCTTTTCCACTTCGACGCGTAAATATTATTACTATGAAAGTCAGTATTTAACGACTCTAAAAAATTGAGAAAATAAGAGGAAAAACGAACTTTATCCTGGGATTCAGGCATTGATATTGTTTACTTATTCACAACATACGCGCTATTTCATATTCGTTCTTGTTTTGATAATATCAACAATTTGCCGAACAGAAGCACATAAAAATTCTACAGACGGGAACCCAGACTAACTTAAGTCATCTAAGCAAGTAATACTTGTACATATAACATGGAGAACAAAGTTTCATAACTCTAAAAGAATATATAAACATAAACAGTGCCATAATTCTGAATAATGTTTTGTGTCTGTAAAGTATCATATTACTGACTAATCTTGTCTAGACCTCAATGTTCCACGTTGTCAATATGAATTGACGCCATAATTCATTGGCGTTCATGTCGATAACAATCATAGCAGTATCGCATAATATACCTTATCGTGGACCTTTTGTAAAATTTGAAAACATTTGATTAACATATATTATTATGACGCATATATGACTAGCACTCGAGCAGAATTACAACAAAAACGCGAACCCATGCAAAAAAGTCAAATATATGGAAAGTGTTTGTTTGTTTGATTGGGTTTTACGTCATACCGACACAGTATAGGTGATATGGCGACGTTTCAGCTTTACTGCTGGAAGAAGACCTCAGGTGCCCTTTCGTTCATTATTTCAGGCACGAACTGGCACCTGAGTAGAACAAACGACGTTCCGTAATTGAAAGTGTTACTGACATAGAGGATATTGAATGAGTGAAGGTTGTTGAACGAGTTGAATAAAATCGCATTCTATCGTAGTTTGGATACTTTACTATTGAAATCGTGTCACAGTTAAATCGTATACCAATACATGCACAGTGCGTTAACTGGATTGCTGGTATTTTCAGGCTCATTTTTTTCTGATTCCGACGACAGATTAAAAGTTCATATTCAGATGCTCTTGCATTGGTAACTTTTTTCTTGGGTTTAATATTGTGACGACAGGGAACGTGTTTTTTGCATATGATACAAAAGAGAAAGAACATCGAAACACTTGGCAATCTGATTAATACTCGTGAGTTATGCCCAACTCCCTCGTAAAAATCAGATAGGCTCGCGTTTTGGTGCTCTTTCTTTTATTTTTATACAAGACCTCTTGCGAAAATAGTATTGTTTTATTCAACGAGGTCAATAAATTTAGTTTCTTTGGGTAATCAACGTTTTAAACCTAAGAAGTATGGATTTACAGTGTGCAACATTAAATAATTTTCCTAATTATTTATAACAGGAACGTTAATATACCTTAATATTTCTTATATGAAGAATTGGAATTAATATATCTTTGTCTATGATACAAGTCAAGTCATCGATCTGATTAAAATCAGCTCCTAAATAACGCTACGACTTAGGATCTGACATCCATTCATAGGTAGTCACCTTCTCGTGGTCTTTTAAACATCCAATTATAGGCGATCTTTCATTATTTTTAAAGCGATGCGGTTTCTAATTTTAATCCTTGGAAAACCAATTCTGAGTAGGTAATTTTTACCATGTCTAGAACAAATATGGCGTTGTCAATATAGCCGACAGGTTATCTGGCAAAACAATCTTTCCCATTAAGAATTGACTCTATTATTTCAAGTTAATTTGTTAACAATTACTTCAAACACATTTCTTTTTGACAAAAATCAACAATTTGTTTAACTTCCATTTGGATACTTCTTCAATTCATATCTGTAAAAACCGGTTTGATTGCATGGCTAAAATAGCTCTCGGGAAATCCGAATTATAAAGAAGGCAAAACATATACGGTGGTCATCAGATCTACATGGAAGATATAAGTAGATCTGTTCTTTAGTCAGATTGGTCAAGTCATTATCATTAAAACATTTGAGAGTTATTGACATGAATGGACTGGAGGTTTTCTTCAGAGATATTTATACCGCTTGATGTATGTATAAATAAGTAAGTTGTTTGCAGAATTTCAGATTATTTGATCACACTGTTTATTCAGAAAAAACTATTTTTGACGCTAAAAAGAACAAAATAAACGATTTAAATAACTCAAAAGGGGAGACGAAGAAGCGACTGTGGCTGTTAAAGACGTTTAGTATTAATTTTGTTCTTATTACCGTCTTACTAACTTCGTTGTTGACCAACTTTTCGTATGCACGCGCATTTTTTTTTTTACATTTACAGATAGACGGTTAAATTAAAATCTATAAGAGACAGTTAATGCGAAATAGAAATATTCAAATTAAGAGTTTCCAGTTGAACGAAAAAGGAAGACAAAGAAACACAATCTGCTAAGAAAAAACACTTGATATCGATTTTCAATTTAATTCTAAAAATAATGTATTCTTTTCCTTTTTTCCGTTTTAAGTGCCCCAGTTTTGATATATACATGAATGTTAGATTATCCAAGTTTTATGTTTTTAGGGTTTTGGACTTTTTATGAGATTTCCTACTTTTAATATGTTTCTGACAATAAAAATTTGTTAGTAATTTTGTAGTTCATAAGATGGAAGAGCCTACATTAGAATAAAAGTATGTCTTCATATACATATCTCAAAATGAATGCAAGAATGTTCCCCATTTACATGAAATAAAGTTTACTATATACTCAAGGGAAAAATGATTAGACAGTTTAAACATACTTTACGTAAACGGAAATTTATCAAGCACTAAAACCATTTAATAATGGTAAAAAAGAACTCATGTTTGCCCTTTCTAAGGAAGGGGAAAACGTTTCTGAGGCATATTGTGCTTTTATATATGTCTAACAAGTGACATACACGATTAAATGTAACTGTTCTTATGGTCCATTTTGATAAATGTTTTATACTTTTTATAAGCAGAATGGTCTACATGGAATGAAGAATCCACAAGCTAGTCCGATAATAGTGCTTCGAGTTGAATAGCAATAAAAGCAAGGAGTCAGAGTTGATAACATGTATATTGTAATTGCAGCATTTGATATGCGTTCTTTGCAATTGATACACATTAAAGCTGATAACAATCAGTCGCCACTTATCACATACGTTCTTGTTAATATCAATAGCGGGCAACTCATTGAGGAGAAATGCAATTGCTTTTAGGCTGGACAAAGGTGTTGCAATAAGCTACAAATGATAAATTACCTGAAAATATTTGATCTTTTGTCATATGGAAGGGGATATCCGCCATTTCGCACATTATTATATTCCTTATTTCAATATGCCAATTTCTTTTCAACGCTGCTAATTCATTTTCCATGTTGCTTTTTAGAAATGCATTATCCATGTTTGTATGTAAATTGCGATATTTTAATAAACACTAATTTTAATGTTCCAACAATTAAAAACTAGCATGATTTTTATAATTTTATCGTAAGAATTCATATGCAGATATGTTTATAATGATTAAGCATTTGATTTGCTTACTATACCAATAATATGAAAATCGGTGAGTTATAAATAATTTAATGTACGTTACATGCAAATATTTGAATTATCATTAGGAATGTATTTTTCTAACTTTCTTTACTTAAAGATCGTTCAGCACGACATTATTGTTGTGCTTGTGGTATTTTTAGTTTTTACTTTTCGGCATTTTCTAGTTGGGTGGTT